GATTCGAACCGGTAAACTTACATATTACGGCAAACATACTAGAATACTGCGCCAAACTAGTATTATATATATTGTGACAAGGCAAAATTTGATATTAGTTAATACGTATCTGTCATATTCGGCGTGACAATCTTTTATATTTAAGCGTTATGACAGGAGAAGAAAAATATTGGGTTCCCTAGTAAGTTCGTGCCGCTTTATAAGGAAAATTGAAACCCTGTTCTCTTAAATTTTTGAAAATGTTTTTAAATTATATTGGTACGACTCTATACCTAAAACGTCTTTTATTATTGGATAAAATTTTAAAAATTAGTTTTTATCTCAACCAATGAAATGAAATTATTCACAATATAGAAATTTTCGTGACGTTTGATAATGGTGGAAATCCGAAAATGAATCCACTTCAGCTACAGTCTATTGTAAGCTTTATATCGAAAATCAGAACGAACTTTCCGGACAACCTATAATGTTAATATAAAGTGTCAAATGAATGTAACAGAAGTAGTTTATTCCAAATTGTATCACAAGTATATAGAGATAGAGTTCAATTTTGTCAAATGTACCGATATTTTTGCGCACCTTGACTGCTTCGTTACTTATGACGCTGTGGCTGCTACGATATTTATGAGCATCTTGCATGTACTCATATATTTGACGCTGTGTATGTACCGATGTATTTGAGCAGGGTGAATGTATCTATTATTTTGAGGACTTTTGTTGTACCGATATAATTGAATACTTTTGGTGTACCTATATATTTGCATATCTTGTCTGTGACGATCTATATGACGCTGACTGTACATAAGGTAATAGAACTATGTACATAGTTACTTTTACTTGCTTTTATAAACTACACTAGACAAACACACACATTTAGTTACTCTTAAAAATAAATTAGACAAATACAGCTATCAAATACTATAGAATTACTAAAAATAAGTACAACTCATACACAATAATGTTGTACTTTAAATCTATTGTCAAGTAGAGTTGATTATCGTTGGTTCGGTGAGTTTACTTTCGTATCAACTTTATACCTAATTTAAATACTGTCAATTATCTCATTAAAAAAATGTTCCCCAAAGTCATCAGTTTTTTTACGGCCAGTACGCGTTTTAATTACACTCAACAACTATTAATATTTGTACTTAAAGTCTTATTTACTAGCATTGAATAAATCTAGAGTTGCGTTGCTGACAGTATTCTGATAGCTTTGTATATGTCCTTCGTGTATTGTAGAGATTTCACCAGAGGTCTGTCGCAGTCCGTTACGTACGGGAGGTACTTTCTTACCGTTTGTTAGAAGTAAGCTGCCACTAGGTGACTCTGGACGGTCTGCAGACATTAAGTTACGAGTCAATTAAAAAAAATTATAAATTAAAAAAATATAAAAATGTTTCTCTAATTATTAATACGCGAGAAACTGTTCACATATACCAAAAGAAAATAAAAATATTTTTTTTGTTAAAGTAGTCACTAATATTATAAATGCAAATGTTTGGATGGATGGATGTTTGTTTGAAGGTACCTCCAGAACGGCTGTACGGATCTCACTGAAATTTAACATAGATGTAGAACATAGTATGCAACACATAGGCATTATTTGTTTTATTCAGCGCGGACGGAGTCACAGGCGACAACTAGTGGACATTTAATTATAGCTTTACCTTCATTATCAACAGTCTTTGTTTTCCTTTGCATTGCAACAACACAGGGACCTTTAGCCAAAGACCAAGATGGCACATCTTCTTTCTTAATCGGTTCCAATATATTTCTTCTGGGTCTTAAAACGTTGGGCAAATCGTTTCGTGTTGCAATATCGATATTCTGAACTTGTTTTTCATCGCCATCTAGTGATGTTTCCTTGTTTATTATATTATTATCTGTTTTTGGCGTATGATTATCTCTGGTAATAGAGCTGTCTTTTTTTAGAGAGGTTTCCCGCGTTAATGAACCAATCTTCGCCATTTGGTTTTCAACTGTGAATATTTGTTTATCATTAACCATTTGCGGAGTTATATCATCGGATGTATTAGTTTCTGTGCTGTCTTGAGTTGTGAGATTATTTTGTACTATTTTAGAATCTGTCCGCTTCAAATATCCGTTTAGTTTTGGTGTTTCGTTTTCCAAAGACAATGGCGGTGCTGACGCCATGTATTGACTATACATGTTGCCTATAAATTCTTCTGTACGCCTGTAAAATAATTTTTTTAATTTGTACACTACACATAAAAAACACACTTATATTTTTCAATAAATTTCGATAATTTCGGTTAAATTTTTTATAGGAGTAAGATATCGATATTTGAAAAAAATCGATATCATAAGAATCATATTGGTACAGATAATATATACCTTGTGAGCGGTATAATTACAGTCTGTGGTACTCCGTTAGACGGATGATAAGCATTAGCACCAAATCCATCCAAAGAAGTGTTTCCAGTTACCTAAAAAAAACATTTTTTATTAACATTTTTTTTGTTTTAATCAATAGTACAATATTTCAAGAATAAATTATTGACTAAGAAATTAAAGGTTTGTACCTCCATAATGCCTATCTGTGTGGTTCTAACATGATAGGGGAAATTTTTATTTGCAAACACAGGCAACGTCAATAGCTGAAAAAATAAATTAAGAAAAATAAGTTTTAACACAAACAAAGCTTTAATTTATTAATATTAAAATAATTACCAAAAACATAATATGTCCAGTAAAGGTAATAAACAGTAAGACGGCTATTACAACGCTCTCTCGAACCCACTTATCTGAAAAAAATAAGGTTATTTTTTTTCTCATTAACAGCTTGAGATATCAAAATAATTACTTACCAATGTATGAATTTGCAGTTAATATAAACAAAGGGCCCGCGTAAAACCACAATGTACCGCTAATAAAGAAAGGGCAGTAAAACGTATTCTGAAATAAAAAAAAAACAAGTAAACGCTATTAAAAGTACCATTTTTACTTACTACAATTTGAATTTACTATCATTATATAATTTTAGGCATAACGATATGGGAAGGGAAGGCACTGCGCAGCGCGCAGATGGCTTTTGAGGGCCGCGATATTTGAAAAGAACTATACCTTTTCGGGATATTTCCTGACTGTGAAGAATGTGGCGTAGGCGAAGGCGGCCCAGGCGGCGACGCGCAGCACGATCAGCCCGTACCCCGCTGGGCTCTCATACAGGTATAGAACCTCACCAGGGTCGAACATCTGCATATTATTACATATTGTTGTCTCTGTCATTTCAAAGAACATGAGAGGGATAGTAACACTATTTGAACGAACTAGATGAAATTGTATTTTCACTATAGATGCAGTAATTGCAAAGGACAGCACACTATGATTAGACGTGTCTCAGTAAAAAACACTAATTTGATTTTTAAGGACTGTCAAATCGCAGTAATGTAATATTTTTTAAATCTATTGGATGTAGGGTGAATTATTTAACTTACCTTAGCCTGATATACAAAGAGTACGATATATGTGACGATGTAGCAGCACATGAAGATTGTGAGTTTGACAGTGAAGCCGACCTTGAGACGGCCACGTGTGATGGTGTAGCCCTTCGCCATTAATACTAGCAGGAGTAGGAATGTCGTCTCAGACACGCCGCACAGGAATTGACCTGGTGAAGTGTAATTTTATTACTAACATAAATGTGAAAGTTTGGTTTTATGGATGGATGTTCTAACAATTTATCTCTAGAACAGCTCAACAGATCGTGATATAATTTGGCGTACATGTAGAACATAGCCTGAAATAACACAGACACAGACTAGTTAAAAGTTAGTTATAAATCTACGAATAACATCTCTAATGTTTAATTTCATATAATTCTGGCTTAATTGTTTTATAAATTTAAGTAGCCTTAAAATACGATATTGTATACTATTAGAGTTCTCTATGTTATATTAACTGAGAGAGAGAGAGAGAATGAGCGAAACAAATGTATGCTCCGAACGAATCAAAACGAAACGAAACAAAAGTAAGAATGGCAGTAAATGTTAGTTACCACGTACCAGTAGTCCTAGCCGTCATATACACCACACCGGAAACAGCATATCTGATAGCAGCCAATGTCTGCACCAGTACACCAGCATGCTGACTGACCACTGACACTAAGAACAGCTTGTAAGTGGAATGCAGCAGGTGACGAGACCTCAGCTCCACGCTGCACATCACTACCGCGACCATTAGCAACACGTACGCGAATGTATACGCTATGAGGACAGGCAGGACATCTGGAAGGTAGAATTACTTTGTTAATACGATTATGGCCAGCAAATAGTCTGTCCTGTTCACTTTCATACGAAAAAAATGTCGCGCTATGTGTTAAATGATGGCTAAACTTAAGTGACCATTTTGAAGAATAAGTGAAGTCAAGAAAAGCAATTGTCTTCAATAAATAAATTCATAAGATGTCTCTCGTATCAAAAATCGCTGGAAATAATTTTCGTCACGTGTTATTGTTATCGTATATAGAGTATAAATTTATAAAACTTACAGAACTCGTCAGCGGAGAAATGTTGATGCCAAAAGTCTCCATCGGGGCCGTTGGTCATCAAAAACTTATATCTCACATCCAATCCCTGTGGCAAATGTCACACCTTTATTGAAACAAATAATCAAACGTTTAAATTAAAAATGAAACCAGTAATTTTTAGGATATACTTTAGGACTATTGCAGTTGCTGATTGCAATGAACCACCAGCGCTCTCTCGCAGAACGGAACCTTCTCGAGTTATGACAAGAGACGATGAGGCGTTCTCTGCCCGCGCCCCCTGCGCCCGCCCCGCTCTCGCTCAGTGAACTCAATCGCCGACGTTTATATCGCTCGTACAGTTCCACTGTTGAACGCTTTATTTTATGCTGCAATAATATAATAAGTATAAATTCTTTAAATAAAGCCAATCCACGGCAATCCATAATTGAGAAAGTTCAGTAACGTTCAAAAACCAAGCATAATCCCAATGGGAGGTGTAGTTCCACCTCCACTTAATTCTAATAGAAACACGTGCAAAAATACCTGTCGTCCTTGTCATTTCTTTAAAAAAAGTGAGATAAAAAATTGAAAGAGTTGGCAATCAAAACCTACAGAAACACTTACCCCGCTACTATTGCTATTATCAAACAAGATCTCGACATCATCCAGACTTTCAGAAGGACTGTCGTTTTCATTGGGACTAATTGTTTCCCATTCATCTTCGGGCCATACCGTTGATAGATTGATTGCGCCAGTTGGTACCAATTCGTACCAAGTTGATGAGTTCACATCAGCTGTGGTGGTCTTAGAGTTGGGTGTAGTCGCTTTAAGGAATTGGTCGTAGTAAGAAGTGTTTAGAGGCGGCTCAAGTTTATGACTTTTAGTAGTTTCAATATTCTTTTTCGTCGTAGGCTTTGTTGTTGTTGATGAGCTGATAAAATGTATTTTCACATTATGGTAAGCCAAAAAATCAACAAAATACAAACCAGAAGACATTATAGATAAAATACAAATTTTTCGACCTTACACTGGCGTTAATGTAAATAAAAAAAATTGTTAACCTTTTCGCCGCCGCCAATTCTTTATTGGCTCTAGAAACTATACACCCGGAATATTCAGTGTCAGGATACCAATGAGATAACTTTAAAACTTGATTCTGTCCGTTCTTGTTCAACACGGCTTCGCGTTCCTTGCACGACTGCAAATACATAAGAAACATTGCAAGAGGAATAAATATAAAATTGTAACTCACTTTTGTGGCTCTTGAATTGTTAGTATTGCGGTTTCCAAATCTGAAGTTAACCTTTACAAGGCTCTATTCTTGTTACACAAACTCACCATGCTGCTGTGATAAACAGACGGCCATTGACTCTCATCATCGTAGTAAAGTAGCAGATTCGGCATGCCCATGTCCCTTTCAAATTCTATTAAATACTCGAACTGTCCCTCCAATGATAGAAAACAAAAGCGAGAGAGGAACGCCCAGTTCTGAAATGTATTTCCATGTATTTTGGAAACTAACGAATCATCGCACAATCATATTTTAATTCTATGTCACAAAGAAAATTTTTATCCAAATTTAACTGTATTCTATTGTTATCTTTCCTCTCTTTTAAATTACTGTAGTTATGAAAAACGATGTTGGATACATAATTACATAGTATCTGTTATTATATTATAGACTAGTTGTCGCCCGCGACTTTGTCCGCGCTAAATTAAAATAAAACTTAGTAGCCTATGTGTTCTACATATATGCCAAATTTCAGCGTGATTCATGCAGCCGAGATACCTTCAAACAAACATCCATCCATCTATTCATCCATCGAAACATTTGCTTTTATACTATGATAGTATGAAAGAGAAATATTATGTAGTTGTTAGTTGAAGCAGATAAATTATAATAAAAAAAAAACTTAATAGGTCATCAAAATACTAATTATTTTACTTTTATATTTCAAGCAAGTAGTTTTAGTATTTATTTAAAATAAAACATAAAATCCGGTCTATTAGATATCTTAGAAATATACATATAGATATTACTTACTTCTTTGGTATCAACATGTCCCTCGACCCATTTCCCGCGCGCGCCTCTTAGTAACACTCCCGCAAATATATACAGGATCAAACATGTTCCAGACAACGCGCTCATATTGATTTTTACAATATATACGAATGTCTCTATAGTATCTACATTCAGACTTTACATCAAACACCTTTAAAACTTCTATAATAAAAGTAGATTTGGTATTAGTATGTTTGGATTAGTTAAATTAGAAGTTACAAGTACAAAATAAATAATTCTCAACATATCAAAACCAAAACTTAAACCAAAACTCATTAGGAATTTACATTTAATATATTTCAATCTACAATAGATTATTATCAAGAAAATGTACAAACACCAAGTAAAAATAATTTCTAATATTTAAAGGCGTGTAATAAATTATTTTTTTACAATATGGCGTTAAGAATTATTATAAATTGACAAAACACTATTATAATTATGGTACTCATTGGTGAAATTTAGCAACTGTTTTCAAATAATACTTGTTGTGAACTATCCGTTACCATGGTAACGAGTTTATAAAGGACGCGCTCATAGACTGAGTACCATAAATACATAACACCCATACATACAGTTAAAACGACATATTACAATGACATATTAGAAAAAAAATCTCAAAACGAAGTCTCTTTCCATTATTCTTATTAAAAATGCTTATATCTTAATTATTTTCATGGAATTTTCATATACCATTTTTAACTTATATACGATGGAAGTGTGCAACGTTAATTGATTATGCGTATCATATTTATAGTGAGATTCCACTGCCGAAAAACGTACTAACGTTTCATCTCAGCTTACTTATAGAATTTTTTTTCAGCGCAGTGGAATCCCACGGTACACTACATAATAATAGAGTGGGATACTTCATTAGTGTTTCAATGAAAAACATATATGTTCTATAATTCGTATATTTTCTTAAAATTTAAAACAGTTTAAAAATAACATCTCTTTATGAGATCCCGCACCGATACAATCTTGCATAGCCAAAACGAGTGAGAGGAAAATTTTGAGCGTATATTTTTTGCAAAATTAAAAAAAAATACTCATGTAATATATTATATGCCACTTGTATATAACGCCCGTTATTCCCCGGCGATGAGATAAAATAAAAAATCATCATAAAATAGCACAAATTACACTTAATGTAGTTAACCTAAAATATACTTTTGGTCCGCACAGCTTATAGAAAATTATGCACAAAAATAACTGTTTTAAGCAAGAAAGTTTGCTAATTATTTGATTATTACTTAAAATAACCAAAACCAGATAAAGTATTAGAAACACATTGCTTTATAAAAGTTATTTATTTTGATAAAATTGAATTTTTACTAGAAGTAAAAAGCAAAAATCTATGCTTTTAATTTTTTTATTTAAATAAAAAACCATAAAATAAATACTTTTGTTACTATTACATATTTTTTTAAATATGAATCATTTGAAAGTATTTATATGTATTTGACAAAATCTTTGCATATAGTAAAGCTAAATAATTTTATCTTACAATAAAATCTCTTCATAATCTTTATACAAATATCCACCAAAAGAAATACAACATACACAAGTCGTGTCGACTATATTTTTTCAAAGAGATATAACTTTTTAAATCCTTACAGGCTTTCGACTAAAACATATTGTTGTCTCTGTTTTTTCCAAAAAGAATAATAGGGATGGCATATCAGTCGAACCCACAGTAACATGTCAATTAAAACATATCTTTCATATTGCACTTTACTTAAAAGTATTTTGGCTGTTGTTGGCCACATGTATTGTCTTATCGTAACACCACACAATATTGTTATCCTTGTCATGCCCTTTCAAAAAAGCGAGACAACAAATTTACGTGGAAGTGTAATAACAGTGGAAATACGGTTAACTCCAAATTACACTCACCAAATTACGACTTACATATACATATATGAGAATCGTGTTACATTTTTTTTATTTCCTTTCGTCTTGTTAATGTCACCATAACTTATTGTATTATGCTTATTTAGAAAGAAATACAAAAGCAAATTTTTACGAGGAAATATACTCAAGAGGTAATCAGCCAGTTACGTAATCAAAGATTTCAGAGACCATAGATTCATAAAACTCTAGTCTAGAATGACGGGTTTATGCACTTTAAAATGCAAATTAATGATTGATTTTTTTCCTATCATTGAATGACATTAACAAAAACCAGTAACAATTTTTTACTTGCCAAAATACAATAATAAAAAATATAATGTTGCAAAGGAATTTGCAAGAGATGGTGCAACTGTACCTTAAACATGCCTCGTGAAGTGGTGTGGCGTTGCCGATGGGCGTGGCCAGTTACTGGCACTCCCTCAACATCTGCAGGGACTTCCTGAACAATTCCTGTTGAGCTGCCGCGTGTTTTATCTCCAACTCCGCGAGATCAATTAAACTGGAAACCGTATATATTTGTGTAATAGCTTATAGACATAGTAATTAAAAAAATATCATTATTGACTCTGAGTATAAGGGACATCTTAGTTTAAACTCTAGGACGTAACTTTGTGACCTTCTTTTACCTTTTTCTAAAAGCAGCTACGCGTCGCGTGCGAAAATCTAGCAACTCTTCGCGAGCACGTGCCGACAGCTGCTCGAATCGTGCGCACGCGTCCGCCTGCACTTGCTCCGCCTAGTAAATATAATCATTATACATTTCAATTAAAACTCTAACATCAAGCCTATATGCTATATTTCTTTTCATATATCTTGGCGGCTCAAGGTCGTCGGCACTGCGCTGTACCCTCCACCTGCATCCCGCTACACCTAACATTGTGTACTTAGCAGCGACTCGCGCGAAGTTGAGCGCCGCTAAGATATTTGAAAACTATAATACAAAGCTAATTTTATTTTTTATGTAGTAAAAAGCTTTATTACTTTTTTCTTATTTTTTTTTATCCATCGGAAGTAAAAATGTGAAATATAGAGTTTAGTTCAATCTCATGTTCACGAGAATATAATTTAGTATGGTATAACTAACGCATTTAAGACCAATGTAGATTTTTATACACGAGTCATAGCTAAATACCGAATGTTGAACCTTAAATTGCACAAATTGTAACATACACGAGAGTATTCCTTTATCTATTGATAGAAACTTCACAGTAAAATCTTACAAAGGCAGCCATACACGAACTACTTAAGCATCATGACATGCTAGTTGCAGTTTTACCAGTGATCACAAACTGCAGTCTAACACTGACAGCTTGAAGTTTCGTTTATGGCGGCCTTATTATTTATGGTAAGTGAAATAAGCGTATGTGAAAAAAGCGTGTTACCTCTTGCACCTCCATCGGCTGAGTGAGCGGGAAAGTAATAACAATGTGAATAGTATACAACAAGATTTGTATGTGAATAACAATGATATAACACGTAAAAAGTTAGTATTGATGAAAAGGATATTTCATAATTAATAAAAATAGTATCAAGATCTGTTTTTTTTAATTTTTCAATGTAATGGTTTTATTGTGCTGTGGAAAAATATGAATTGTGACGTCAGATATAGTATTAAAAAAGTGATTAATTGCTTTTAAAGGTGTTTAGTATTAGTGTAGTGTGTGTGTAGAAAAAGTGTGTAGTTTCAATATGGGATTTTGTTTGTTAAGATAACTCACAGCGTGCACGTCCTTGTTCTTAGCCCGAGCGCGTTCCAAGTTTCTATTTGCTGCCTCATACGCTGCCAGACATCTGTAACAATATATATTTCATCATGTTATATTTAACGTTTATGTAAAATGCTATCTACGTGAATTTATCACTGAATAACTCCTCCACTTACATTAGTACTATGTACATGACATGTGAGATGGCACGTCAGAAACATGAATACTCTTCTGCCTGACGTGCCAACTTATATGCTAGTATTGCACTTACCTAAGTCTCCGTACGAGCACAGCTTTGGCGGCGTGAGCGTCGCGCATGTAGTACCGCAATGTATCCGCTAACTTCAGATCCTGGTCTGACGCCATGCGGCCTTCTATTTTCTGTGAATCACAAAAGAATGGATGTTTATTACCACATAGGCCCAGAAAGTTGGTCTGTGGTATCGATAGATAATTCAATCAGTTATTTTTAATACCACCGGAACGAAGTCGCGGGCAACAGGTAGTATTAGAATAACGCAAGAGTAGTGAGGTGTTTCCTTATGTTGCCACAGGCCTACCAATCAAACTGCCCATTGGAAATATTATTTTTGATTCTATATACTCAATCAGCTGTTGGGCCGTTACACCAATCGGTCCAACGGCAAACACCCTAGTAATGTTTTCTTACCCGGCACTTTTCGAATGTCTCAGCGGCACGCGTCAGGAAGCGCTCTGTGGCGGGCTGCTCGCGTGTGCCCAGCTGCGTCAGACACGAGGACAGCTTGATGTGTGCATCCGCCACCTCTGTACACCCACAATGTTCAAATAGCATTAGTTTACATACACTGCATAAACTATTGTTATCTCATGTTTTCTAAGAGAAATGAGAAAGATGACAATATATATTCGGTAGTGGAAAGTAGCAATACAGAATTCTCACCCTTATGCTTAGTAGTCATACGGTCGACTTTAGCAACTGCCTCTTTGAGATGAGAATAATATTCTTGTAGGAAAGCTGTTTCCTGTTCAAAGAAGTCATTGACGTCACGTACGGTCGCGCCCAAGTAGATCTCATCTGTCGTTGTTGTCATAGACCTCATCTACAAAGATGAAAATAATACATAGGGATTATTTATTCATCTTTAGTTGAGAGTCTTAATACCAATGCTCAATGGATTTAAACTCTTAAAATTAATATTTAAGATAGACAAGTTATTAAAGAAGAATAAGGGCAAAGCAATTCATTTGTTAGATAAAAAATATATATAACATTATAGCAATTGAAGAATTAACATCGATTTAGCCACAATCTAAGATTTATGGAGGCTAACTAAGCAGAAGACATACCAATCCACCAATAAGGTCCATTTTTCCTCGAGGCTTAGCACACAGATCCTGTTCGTATTCTAGAAACACACGTAAATGTGCATCATTTCTAAACACCGGATGGGCTGCGAGACGTTGTAGGAACACTTCGTGCATTGCCACTGTCTTCTTGAATGTTGCCAGATATTCACTAAAAAAACAATTTTAATCTTATAAATAAATAAGATTTTAATCTAGCGCGGACGAAGTCGCAGGCGATAGCTAGTATTTTATAAAGTCATAGTAGTGACTGTTGCCCATAGATATTCACAATTGTGGATACACACAAAGACACCTTTAGTTGACAGAGTACAAGATACATAGAAAAAGGATATTTCCCCTTGCTATGTATTCCCGACTAAATCCACTTTTCTATTTCGCTATGAATTATATGAAATTACTTAATTTGTAAAATGATTATTTATGTGACAGAACTTACTCTTCCAACTCTTCTTTCATCTTGAGGAACTCTTCACGTGTTAACGCGCCCTCGCCTTCTCCGAGGCGCTGTAGCTTTTCACGAGACGCATCAAAATCCGGTCTTGGTGGTGCTGGGGGTATCTGAATATTTATGAAAAAATTTATCATAAAAAATATGAAAATAAGAAAATATGTATTAAAGGCAACTTACATTTTTTCTTTTTGATTTGATCTTCAATCTTTTTTAAATATTTTATATTTTAATTTATCATGGGAAGAAGGTACTCACAATATAACCTGCATATTCTTCATTCTCTTCATATCTGTCATGAAGCCACACAAACTCTTCATGCTGACGAACTACTGAAAATTGTGACTTCTGAAATTCAGGTAGAGTTGTTTTGGTATGAACAGAAAACTTCACCTTCTCTTTTTCACTAAGTGCATCTGAAATATCTACCTGCAAGAAAGAAATAATCATACAAATTAAAACATAAAAACAGTCTAAACAGTGAAAAATGTGACAAAATAACTTATTTTATTTTGACAAACGTTTTCAAGTTTAGTTACATTCTTCTAAACCAAATTAAAATTAGGTATAACTTAAGAAAATATTGCTTACTAAGTTAATAAATCAACTTACTAATAAGCTATTGTCAGCTAAAGAGACATTTTCATTGGGCTTCTTTTTTTCAAGCTTAGTGTCAACAGAGGCAGGGGATGTAACTGATGGGGCTGAGAGAGGATCATGGTTAGTTTCTTCCACGCAGTCCTGAAAATATGTATAAAAATTCAATTTTCTCAAAATATCCTAAACAATTGATCCTAATGTAATTACTATAATTTAGTTGTTTGTGTTTCAGAAGTTATTTCTCTATTTGACAAAGTTATCCTTAAGATCTATAAGTAATGATGCAATAAGAGAATGATGACTGATCAAAATTGTATCATTATGACCATTCTAAATTCTTTCATTATGTCTAATAACATAGATAAGCAGATATTATTAATCTTTACAAGTAAACATATTACAGACTTCTGTTGAAAAGCAAATTAAACACAAAAGTAATTAAATGTGTAATGTGAGGAATGGTAATAAGGACAGGACGTTATTACTAGATAATTGTATTGTTAATATACAATTTGAATTGCCGAAATCCACGTCACGAAATAAGTCTTATCAGAATGCAATAAGTACTAACTTATTAGAAAAAGTACCCGCTGGATGTCTTTGCAATACAATGATAAAATTGCAATGAATATCGGTCATATGCAATAAGTTTAAGCAATAAATATTATCGTATAAATCAACTTTATTCGATGTTAGTTACGCCCCCTAATCTAATTAAGAGAACAATGATTTTATACATTTTATGACAACAATCTTACCATCATTTTATTAGCACGTATGAGATGCTGATCTTGAAATTAATTATATAAATGGCACTGTACTGTAAGCTATCTTAAATCTTTATAACACTTTCTCGTTTCAGCTAAACAAAAAACAAATTAAATGGACAAGACAAATTGTCAAAAGTCAATCAAAATCAGTCGGTCTATGTTTAGGGACGACAGACGAGTCGTGTTTTCAGATACCGATTTGCCGATTTGATACCGATACTTGTTTTGAACTAGGGCTGAGGGCTGCGCTAAAAGTTTCCGATTGTACTTTTTTTTTAATTAGTAGTTTTTGAAAGTTTGGTAGTATTAGCAATTTCTGGTCGAAGTTAATCAAACCCAAATTTAAAATAATAAAATATTAAATTAATTAGTGTATTTAATGCTAAGTAAGAACAATGAATAAAGTAAAACGTTTATTTGTAAAATAAAATTTACTCGATGTTGTACATGTAAAAATACCAAAATAGTTAGTTTTACTCATGTTGTAACACTTTAAAACTACGGAAATCGAAGGACGAAAATGGAATCGCGCAAAATACTTGTTGTTTATAATTTATTTACATGAAAAATATATAAAATTTCTACAAAATGGGTACGCAAAAACCCGGAGAATGGGCAAATTCACTAATTGCACGATTCGAAGAGCAGGTAAGTTCTTTACTGATCATTTAATATTATTTTTGACCCACCCCAAAAATGAATATTTTCTTTAATTGTGTAAACAATACCGAACTTTTTTATCTTGCCTTCTTCTTAAACCATATTTGTACTAATTTTTTTATTTTTGTATGTACTTTGAATTTATGAACATGTTAAACTTTCACTAATCTTCCTGATCTTGTACTGCCGCCTACACAAACATTAAGGTATAATTTATTGATTAGTGTTAGTGTCGTTAAACCTATTGGATAATTTTACTAGCCAATTCTATTGTTAATTTTAGTAAATGGATGATTGCGTACAAACATGCCATGACACACTAATTCATTATTTAATCAATCAATATTTATTTAAGTTTATGTACTATTTCCAATTACGCATTTTATGTTGATTGCTATAAAGTTTCAATAACTTTGACACTATCAATTTCAGCTTCCTTACAAGACGGGGGCACAAAACCTTCATTCCCGAATCAATGAGGAGCAATGTAAAGCTTGCTTGGTACAAATCAGTCGACATAGATTTTCTCTGGTCATTGCTGGCCTTACAAAGATTTTACAAAGAGTCAATGAATTGGTAGGTAACAATACAATTCATTACATATCCAATATTCGATAAAATGTTTCTAGTATTTCAATTACCCAGAAACAAATAGTGTTTTATAATACATATTTACTATCTATTACTATTTTTGTATATTAACAATAAATTAATTTGTGTTTTTTCATCATATTATTTAATCTTTATTTAGTATCAGCCAACAATTTCATCATGTGTAAACCGACCACAAACAGAGCTGGAGAAAGGTTATCATGACAGCCTTGTTATTGTGCTGGATACATTAGAAATATGTCTCAGTTCACAACCCAAGGATACCACAAAATATGATGAAGCTATGAATGTTAAAATACTGCTACGAGAAGTCTGCCAATTTATTGGTGAGTTATTCTAAGGGGGTTTTGTTTGTTTAATTTGTGAGTTTGTTGATTTGCTGCAATAACAGTACACTCCTCCAAAAATATTATTTCTCTTGTTTCAAAGGCAATGAAGGGGGGGAGATGACAATATTTTCTATTTTTAGAACTTTCAAATGTTGTATAGTCAAATTCAACATCCATCTGTAATCACACAATAATTAAAAACAAACATGTTTGTATTATCAATTTAAACACTAAAACCATCCTAAATATACACAATAAATAATATTGTCAGTCAAAAAAAATTATAAATAAAATTAATCATTGCATTTGACTATTTCTTTTTTCTAGATATGCGAAATGAAAGTAACATAAGCAATACACTGTTGAGGCAGCTAGCCAGTAAGGTGCTCTTTGCATTGAGCCTCAACTTTTTTAATGCTGTTTTCAATAGAATTAGTGCCAGATTGCAGGTATGTCATTTTATACTTTGGAAAGATAATAAATTGAATTTTGTAACATCTATTTACTTTAAAGGTCTTTAAAGTCAATTACTAAAACTGAATCTAATTATTCTTGACTTATTTGCCTTTAATATACATAATATTGTGAATTTTAATATTTATTAAGACTTTAAATAATAAAATATGTATTTTTTTAGGAGTTGGCATCCAGTTCAGAAGAAAACCCGGATTACACAGACATAGAATTAATACAATACATAAATGTGGATATATTAAGGCTTATACGGCTGCTTACAGGTATTGTTTATTTTTATTATTTAATGGTGTTAATTTAATTCTTTATAAAAAAAGCTATAATCATCATCTATGTTTACAGAATCCATACAGAAGTTTAAGTTATTAAGGAAATCAGCACATATAGTACTTGTTTCCTCACTTGAAAAGGCTATATGGAATTGGATGGATACTTATCCACAAGTAAGTTAAATGTTACCTTAGAACTTCTCTGCATTGATACTTTTAGGGTTCCATATCTCAAAGAGAAAAAACACGGAACTCTTATACTATCACTTTATGGTCTGTCCGTCACCTAGAAGGCAAACAACTTTTTATAATAAAATGTATGGTGTTACTAGGAGTTTGCGGAAGTGCAGTGCCGGCCTAACGAGGAGCTGAGCAAATGCTGCGACACGCTGTTCGACCTGCTGCAGGACTGCTTCTCTGATAACAAGAAGTCCCGTGTTGCAATGTGGCCATTGCAGATCATGCTACTACTCTTGAACCCGGTCAGTATCACCTAGATTAAGCCGAACTGGTGAATAGTTCTATTCAAAACAGAAGCACTAAAAGTGAATTATTTTGGTGAAAAGTCATTCGCAATCAAACAAAAATGGAATGGAAATGATTTTGTGCATTGTAGACTTGACTTGAACTTGTATTTCTAGATCTTATATATAAAATTCTCGTGTCACAATTTTCGTTCCCATACTCCTCCGAAACGGCTGCACCGATTCTCATGAAATAATGTGAGCATATTGAGTAGGTCTGAGAATCGGCCAACATCTATTTTTCATCCCCCTAAATGTTAAGGGTAGTCCACCTCTAATTTTTTTTTAATTTTTTTGACAAAATTTTTAGTATATGGTAAAACGTTTGCCGGGTCAGCTAGTAATTCTATACAATTTTTTCTATATAATAAATTTTGTAAGATCATTCTTCTAATCTACTACATATGTTACAGAAAGTTCTAGAAGAAATTGTAAACGCAGACAGTGGCGCCCCCTGCAGTCCGAGGCACACTAAGAAGAAACATTTCATAGATTCCGTTAAGAGAGGACTTAGTAAGTTAAACTGTTGTATTAAAATAATGGTTGTGATATTGTTCTTGGATATTTATGTTTTAGTAAACACTTCAAGATAATCTTATTTCTTGGTAATATTATAAATGCGAATGTTTGTTGTATGGATGGATAGATGTTTGTCATAAGGTATCATCAGAACGGCATCTTAATTAAATTTGGCCTAGAACATAGTCTGGAAGAACACATAGGCTATATGTTTTTTTTTTCAACAAAATTGGCAAAAGCTATTATGAAATAAATATTAAAAATATATATTTTTTAATACCAAGCGAACGGAGTCGCGTGCGACAACTAGAAGTATGTTAGTGAATTTATTCAAGACACTTTTGATAACCTTATAATTTTTTTAATACAGGTCCACAGAACAATTCGAAGCAGATGACAGAGGCGGCGGTTGTGACATGCGTCAAATTGTGCAAAGCCTCGACGTATTTGAATATCGCCGATTCAGGAAATGTCACTTTTATACTCGTCAAGTCTGTGATCAATGATCTCAAGGTACTTTTAAGTACATTCATTCTATTTTTCCTGTTTTTGGTACAATACAACCAAGGGTCAATGTCTCAGGAGTTAAGCACTTAGACTTGTAATCTGGAGGTCATGGGTTCGAATTCCACCATGTACCGATGTGTTTTTCGATATTCAATTTACTTATGTACATTTATCCGACGTTCGTACGATGAAGTGAAACATGGTGATGCAACCTGCACATATCTGCGAAGAAATTCAAAGATATATGTGAAGTCAACCCACACTGAGACATTGTGGTTGATTAAGGCCAAATCATACTTAGAGTAGGCTCCGAGATCCTCAGTGGGGACGTATAGTGAGCTGATGATGATACAGCCAATGTGATCAGTTTAGCTCCAGACCTTTGATGTTTTCAAAGGACTAAACCAGCCCTTGATGTGATCAAAAGTTGGTACTTACCAGTCTCTTACTCTCTCTCTCTCTCTTAACTCTTTCTCATATCTATTAATTATCTATCTTAACTCTACTCTCTTAATTTTTAAAAATATGATATTTTTGCAGTCACTTTTATTCAATCCATCAAAGTCTTACATACGTGGGAACCTAATATCTGGGTATTCGGAACTGGATCTGATGACGGATTGCTTCGTATCATTGTTTCGTATAATGCCTCATAATAATGACGCACTTAAAGTCTGTCTCAATCTGAACGCACATATATCTTACCACTATGTGATAGTTAATTCTTTACTCAGGTGAGTTTTGTTTCTGTGTACAAGTAATCATTAAAGATAAAAAAAATAAAACTGTAAATAATGTAATCAAATTGAAATGGAATAAATAGCAGCAGATTTTTTTTCCTAAAGTTAAGACTAGGAGATACATTTTTCTACAACTAAATACTAAATTCATAAGCAATTTGATATTTTGAGTAAATTAATTTTAATTGTATTTTTACCTCACAAATTTAAATAAAAACATAAAAATCATTTGTATTGTAAGACATGTAAATAATAAAAAAAATCTATAACTTTCTTGATTTTTTTTTCAGAATTATAAAACAGCCACGCTTACCATGGTGGCCGCAAATAGAACTTTTATATCCAAGAGCTGCAGAACTGAGAGCCATGTTCACAGACACATTAAATAAGGCCACACAAGTATGTATAACCTGCATATAGATTGGCACGTTGGAAACTAGAATACTCTTATAAATTACGTGCCAACTGGATTACGATTAACAATTCACATACAATCACATATAGAACAGATTTTCAAATATATTTATTGTCAAAA